ATAAGCTTAGCAAGACATTTTATTCTTCCATTATGTTAGAACAAATATTATAAAACTGTTTTAAAGATTCTTTTGTTCTCAAACCTCATCTAAGGAAAATACCAAGTCCAACATGTTGAAGGATGCTTTCTGTATCTACAGGAGAGGAAAGTCTAAACAGCAGTATTAGACCACTGCCACAGAGCCCACTGTTAGTAAAATACCGTTATGATACCTGCACAGAACTGTTCAACTTAGGACAGATTGTAAAACAGCAACATGTGTGTCAACATAAAGAAAGCATCTCACACCAACTATAAAAGCCTATTGGCATGTAGCAGGAGAACAGAGACTATGCTGAATTCTCCCAAACTGATGCAATTCTGCAAAAGATAAAAGCTACGCTGAGAAAACAGGTGGAATTGTATGAGCTCATTCTGAGCTTCATACAACGGTGATATCCTGCAATAGAGAACGACTACATTCAAGCAGAATTCGGTCACCACTCCACTTCAGTGACAAGTTTCTCACAGGTGTCAGGACAGACAAAGATGTGCCCAGAGAGGTCCCACTTGGAGCATCTCCTACCAGCTACCACACAGTCATACAGCCACCAACTAAAGGTCCACAAAGGTCTGCCCTGTGGCTCAGCACAGAGCTAAGAATGGAGGTGGGGAAAACTTTCCAAAAATCATTTCAAAGGCACTTCTTAAAAATAGTGATGACCCCTAGGAAAGAGGCAACCCTCTGACTAGCTGGTGACAGCCAAAGCAGGATCTTCCCACAGGTCCTGTATGGCCAGGACCCTGCCAGATACAAGTGCACAGATTTCCATACTAATGTGCTTCCACTCTCCTGCCTTTTCCATGCTAATGCTTGCATTGCCTTTGAATATAAATACATTCCCTGAAGCAACTGTTGATTGACAGTTCTGCTCTGTAAACAAGTGTCAAGAAAAAAAGCCTTAATGATGTTCTGTCATCTAAAAATACTATAAACAATGTCTGTGTTACTGATGGATAAAAGAGGGCCTTGTTCCTAATGAAGAGGATAGACTATAAGAGAAAAACTCACTTCCCAGCTCTATAGAACTTGGTGCATATAAACCTAAGATGTTCATTCAACTTCACTGGGCTTTGCTCACTCCCAGCTCTACTGAGAGGACAAGCTGATACCACTGCTCCAAGACAAGGGATTCTCAGGACTAGCACACAACTGACAATTAAGAAATTAGTATTAGGAAAGTTCATTGTAGCCTTCCGTAGAAAGGCACTGGGAAAACTCAAAGCATTATTAGAAGAGTGCCCTAAATAGTCTTCCAAGACAGCCAATCCTAATATCATTTTCACTCAAAGATATAAAACGAAATAAATTTCTCCCTTCACTTCATCTTGGAAATTTTCCGGTATCTAAGTGATTTCATGTCTGTTCTCCTTCCAAGTGCCACACTATGATGTGTTCTAGTAGTGATTTCTCCTCCAGGATTCCCTCATCCAAGTGTGACCCAAAATAAACAGCGAGGTCTGTCCCACTCTGCCCATGTTAACACATGCACTATTCAAAAAGGCTCAGAAGTGCAAAAGACTTTACTAAGCAACTGACCCATAGAGGAAGAGACAGAGATTACAGCATCATGCTCTTCAACCTGCTAAGAAGGTCATGATCTATTTAGCATCAAAGGGAAACTAAGTTTCACAAGGTGTAAGAAAAAAATGAATTTGTAAATTACATCTTATTTCTTCCAGATCTCTGCTAATTATCCTCTGTATCCCCTTGCCCAAATCTGATCAAAACCCTTTATGAATCTTTTTTTCTCATATATACTTCTGAAAACAGAGACACAGTTCCTTTTTTTTTTTGTTTTTTTAAGAACAATGTCACACAATGACTGCGCCACCCATTCTTATATCTCACATCTATCATTCTGTTATTTCCCTTGCAGGCCATTTTGTGAACATAAAAAAAATACATCAGCAATGTCTGTTTAATGCCAAGGGATGTAGGAATACATTCCAAAGTGAAAATTAAAGTGAGATGAAAATACATTTCTAGATTTTCTGTTTTCAGTGCACCATATGGGTGATTTTTATGACAAACACAAACCTATAGCACACATCTTTTTTTAGTTCTTATACACCACTATTGTCCTGGAAATTAAGAAGTGGTCAAATATAAATCAAACAGGCTCAAAATGAGAAACTGGTATTCCACAAAGAGGATTAGTACTAGGATTCCCCTCCCACAGGCATCTTTAGGATTTTATTTTGCTTCAATTCAGGCCACCATTTGTAAAGTGGGGGTGGACATATTCTTAAGCAATTCACTTGAGCAAAATTACAAAATAATAATGCAACCATTTAACACTAAAAATGACAAACAAGAGACTATTCCATAAAACATATTCATTTAATCCAATCAGTATTTTCCTGTTGTATATGTATTTTTTAACCACCTCCAATGAGTAAGAAAGACAAAAATTTGAAGTTTAGGGATCACTGTCACGTGGTGCTTCACTGAGCTTATTAAAAAAATGCCTTAGCAACAAAAGCACAGTATGCTTTAATCTGATTATGAACTTGAAGTGTCAAGACCAAATAGCATCAGGGAAGGAGCATCACTAACATTTCCGCTCCCAGTATCTAAAAGTTAAGACACTGGTTTTCACCAGCTCTTAGGTTATGAGGCTTGAGCATATCAGCATAGTTTTACTACAGCAAACAATCTATTAATTTCTCCTCATGCCATATATTACTTTAGTATCTGAAGCAAGTTTCTATAATTTCATAGTGTTTACTCATTCTCATTTCTCCTTCATTCTCCTACCCTCCTTCACAAGAGTAAATGGAAAAAAATATTTTCAATAGAAAAATACAACTCATCCTAGAAAGAAAACAAGACAGAAATAGACTTGATGCCAACAAAAAACTGAGGATCATCAAGATGAAAAAAAATCAACACTAGACCTTAGAAATGTGGAGACAACCACAAACAAAAAAAAAAGTTTCAAAAATGTTACATTTTTAATATGAAAATCAGATTTCATTGCTCATAGCCAACAAAATTATTAATCAATAGATGTTTTCATAAGACACTAGATCTTTTCAAAAGTTTTCAGGGAAAAGGCAAGCTAAATCACCTTTCCCCAGCTTGTGGCACCCAGGGGAATCAAGATACACACCCAAATCTTACTGCAACCTCTTCAGAGCAACAACTTCTGGACTTCAAAAATCAAAACATCAAAACCATCTTGCTTTTACCCAGAGGCAAAATTCATTTATTCAACCTGAATTAATTTATGAATATATTTTGAAAGTTTCATCTTGAGACAGGTTGGGAACACACAACCTCAACAGTAATTTTTCTGATTCAAGTGTTTTATCAAAACCTCCAAGTGAAAATAAAAGTCAAGAAGTTTGTAACACAAATGAAAGGATAACTTTAAAAGATATTACAAAGCTGGATTTAAAATGCAAATTACATTTTTTTTTAGTTCTTGTTGCAGACTAAATACTTCCAAAGATGTAATGAAGATCTAGCACCTCATTTTCAAACTCCCATCCTACTGAAAAATAACAAAGACATTCTGGAAAAGCAAAAAACAAAACAAGCAAAGTAACTACTTGTATCATCATATCTCCTTTTACTTACCTTGTATGACTAAAGCACGTTTTGGAGAAATTTTGATAAGCCGGTCCCCACTGGAAATGTAACTTAGAAAATAAAATCCCTGATCCTCATACCTGTGGGTCTGCAACTTCTGGCCTCAAGCAATGGTTTGTTTCTCCAGGAAACCTGCCAAATGTGTTATCAGCACTTCCAAGAACTCCAGTTTCCTATTTCATATATACCAGTGCTGTCTTCATGTTGTTTCTCACACACTGCCAGAAGACTTTCCGTAGTTTCTGAAATCTCCACATAGCTCAACAGTGAGGAACACACTTTGACACTGACAGGTTAGCAGTGAAAGGTTACACTTTACACTTACTTCACTTGCCCTGGTGTTCAGGCTCAGAAATTAAGCACCAGCCCCCAGCCACCTACAGATTTGAGACGTGTTGGCCAAAAGGCATCCGTCCTCTGCTTCAGGGGCCCTCAAACATTGTCATTCACTGCTCCAGGCTTGTGAAGTCAAGGCAGAAGAGCACATCAGTGCTGCACGCCTCTCATCATCATCTCTGCCTGCACACTCCACAAACCCTTTGGATTCTCCCTCTCTCACATCACACGTGCCAGTTTACACACCTCGCTACATCCCCTTCACACTCAGGCCGTTTGTTCCTTCCTCCCCTCCAGAAAGGCATACTCAGCCTCATGCTCTAGCACAAACTAAAGCAATGGCCGTGATTAAAAAACAAAAAGCATTGAAAAGAAAAGGTTTCCATCTCCTTGTCTCAGTGTGAACCACAGGATACTGAGAAATGTTTGACTTCAAGCTCCATCCCTAGAAGCGCTTTTTGACATAAGAGACGCCTAGCAGTGGTTAACACCTGAATTCAAAGCTCTGGCTAAGGTTGCATCTAACCTATAATTTTTATCTGAAGCTGCAGAGCAGTTCACAGGGAAACAATTGCATTTTCCCAACCCGCCATCAATGGGTGCGATTCACAGAGCAGTTTCAGTGTACTTGAGCAACACTCCTTTTAGAGGAAAACAGAACAGAAGCTCATATCCAGATGCATTGGATAGACAATCCAACTACTAATGGAATCAAAGCAATGACTCGATATTTGGATGCCTTCAAGCTGTATTACTGATAGCAACCTTCAGTCCAGATCACCAAAAAAAAAAAAAAAAAAAAAAAACCTAACTAAAAGTAAATGCCAAGGGGCCTCAGGCCTCAGCATCACCTTTTGATTTTCTGATTCTTCAAAAATCCTAACATCCATAGAATTAAACATTCTTTCTGAGTTAGTAAGGTAACAGACTGGCTCATCCTGTTTCTTAGCAGACATATTCATACCAGCTCAGCTCTAATGACACCACAAATAGCCCAGAACCCCAGCAAAGATCACACCACTCACCAGGCCACTGCAAGCGCTGATCGCTGCTGTCCCACTGCCAGAGCCAGGCTGCCATGCTGTGCCAAGGAAGTGGCAATTAACTCCTGAGCGAGTTGAAATCTTCGCTCTGGTGTGGTTGCCACGTCTCCTTTCTACTACGTAGTTATGGGAAAGAAATCCCATGTGGACAGTCAAGTTAAAAAACAGATCTTTCTCCTCGTGATTAATTTTGTAGTAGACCACATTTTCACTTTTTCCGAGGTATCTCTTCTTCCTCACACTGGGGATATGATGGTGTAGATTAAAAGAAAGAAAATGCCCACTTGCATCTACTCTTGCTGGATGAACCACATGGTACTCTGGCATTGTCTTCACAAATTGCTCTGAGAGAAAGGGGAGAAAAGAAAAAAAAGAAACAAAACTAGAGTGAGTACTAGCCTGTTCAGATCTCGCATAATTTAAAGGAAAAGTCAAAAGCGAGAGCAATTCTCCACAACATCCTATTGACAGGCAGTGCACAGACTACCATGGAATTCATTCCTCATTTGAGCTTTTCATTCTCCCATTGTAACACTCAGTTTAGAAGCTAAACATTCTTCTTCTCAAACATTTTGTCACCATTCATATAAAAGACTGACTGTCACACATACCCGCATCTCCCAGTCCCACAAGGGCTGGGAACCTTCCATGACCTAGGTCTCCAGCACATGATACTCTGATCAAACAGTGTAATCTTCACGCATCCAAAAAACTGACCGCCTCAAATTGGACAGAGAGTCTTGCAAACACACAAAGGTGAAGAAAACACAAATTGATTATTTGTAGTGACAGCATCTCAGTAGCATCAGCTTTAGCAGCTGCTGCAGCTGCAGCTTCAGAATTTCAAATAAGTGTTTGAAGAGAATGAAGTAATCATGCTCTGTTGCATAAGGCATTCCAAACAGGGTAAGATTGGAAATTTTATCACTTGTCAGAATCTAGCAGAGGAAGAGAGCATTATTGACATTGTTGTACCCTGCTACAACAGGGGAAGCATACAGAAGAAGATAAAGAAGAAACACCAACTGTATCCGATTTTGTATTTTTAAATTACTGTGAAATGCAAAAGCCCCATGCAAATAACACAAATCCACATAAAACACAATCCATAAGAACTCATACCCTAAGGGTATGTCTGCTGCCATACTTGAATTCAACTCAAGAAACGAACTCAATGTCTGAACATATTTAATTAAAAAGAAGTTATGACGACACACGTTAATCCAGTTCCCTTTACCCAGAGCTGCTCTTCAATCCCAAAGTCCCAGCCACTCACACGTGAGGTGACTATATACCCTATCCATTAACTAAGCTGCTTAACAAAGCAATTAGCCTGTTCTAGCTGCTTCCAGGCTGGAAGATCTAGCTAGACAATCATTTTAGAAGGCTTTTCCATAGCCTGTACCTTCAAAGTCACAGAGGGAAAATCCTGCCTAAGCATGCAGCTGTCTGGATTCATCCCCTTCTGGAAGGACCACATCTCATCTTACAGCTTACTAGCTACAGTTTAAGACATGGCTGCTTGAGTTTCCTCAGGCCATGGACCCCTGAGACACATGCACTGAAACACTTCCAATTGAAAGGAAAGCAAAAAAAAACCACATAAACCCACCCACACCCCCACCCCCAGCCTCCCAGCACATATGGAACTACATCAGAAATCTGCCTTAATTTCAGCAGCACCTTCACTTTAGAAGCAAGCTTATTCCCTTACACAACAGATTTCTTTGTACACAAGCCTGCAGTGACTTGGAGCCTTTGCACAACAAGCCATAGCAGTGGGGTTTTGGGTCTTCACAGAGCCAGGTCTTGACATGGACAACAATGCCTGCCAGGAGTTCTGAGAGACATCTGCCCTTGTCCACATAAGGGGACTGAGACACTGGAAACTCAGTGCACATCTTCATGCCTGTTTGCACAACCTTGGGGACAGCACAAAAGGTGCTGGATGCCTGACAATTCAGCAGCTGAAGCTAAACCAAACCTCCTCACACTTGACAGTGAAGCAGAAGGGAAAAAAAAAGGCAGGTAGAAGAGATAAGAAACACCCAGAAATACAGCTTATCTGCACATATTAAATTGTGAGACTTCTGGGAAGTCCCACATTCCATACTGGGATATGGGACTCCCCAGATACGGGACTTCCATATGGCTAGCAAAGTCAGACTAACAGAGAATGATAGAAGACCAGGCCTCCATTTCTATGATTTTCAGCACAACTCATTAAATAATCAAATCAAATGCCTGAAGGAAAACTTACTCATTTGCTGTCACTGTGCAATTTTCCACTGCTTGATGTCTTGAACCTAATTTGTTGTGGCTTAACTGCTGAGCTCCGTGCAAGACCAAAGACTTGTGGTTTTGGATTTAAAACAATGCAAGAAAGTTTTTACTTCATCACTATAGCATCACTTAGTGTATAGAGATTAAAGAAAAGTAGGATCAGTAAGATGGGAAATAATGCGGAAGCATTGGATTATCAAAGAAGATTAAATGAACTTCTTCCATCCGCACATTAAATACTTGTTTAGACACTGGAGAGGGGGAATCTGCTGCAATTATAATGTAATACAAGTGCAGAAATTAATTATTAAACAGCCTTCAAAAGACCAGGGGGAATAAGATTACAACACAAAAGCCTAACAGGATGAGGGTAACGATATTTCTACAAGTAATCACTATCAGTACAGTTTTGCCTAGACTGCTGGGTAAAAGGCAGTCCTAACTATTAGAACTCCACAATAAGCCTAAGGCAGCATAGTTTCTGCCTAGAGAAGAGTGTAAAGCAGACAGGAGATACAGTTTTGGTGATCCCTTTCTGCTCTTCTAGGAAAGAAGAACAAACTTCATGCAACCCAGACTGCTCAAAATTAAGGGCTGCATCCTTCAACACCGAATGCCTCTAATTTCATATAGTAACATGAATTCCTGTTAAAACACCACAAGTTTCCAGAAAACTTTGCAGCAGCAAACTTAAATGGAGAGAACAAATGCCACTGACAAGCCGTGGTACTGGCATGTCACAGCATTCCCTTGGACACCCAGCACACTCTCCATTCCAAGGGAGCCCCGCCTGTCATGTGGACATTGCTCAGGATTTATAGGCCAGGAAAGGTGGCTGTGTTGCTCCAGAGAATGTTTTGTCTTTCCAGAACTACAGCCTGGGCATGCTAGCTTGCATTGGTGCTGCAAACGAATTTGAAACACAGCAATGAGCAGCACATATTTGAGTCACAACTTTGCCATCACAGTGTCTGTTCAGGCCCTCTGGGCACACAGGACAGATAAAGTTCAGGCCCTTCACACTCATTTGAGGAGCCCAAGTATTGTTTAAGTTGTCAGAGAAATCTTGCCTACAGATCTTCGTAATTCTGCATCATTGAAAACATCTGATAATACTCAAAACCACCCGTGTGTTCTGCTCCTCTGTGGATTCAAATTTGCTGCACATGGCAGAGAACTGCTGTATTAAGAATGGCTGTACACAAAGTGAGTAAACTAGGATAAAGAGAAAAACATATATGATCTATCACATATGGCAGGAAAACCACAATTTACTTTAAATACATAACATGTTCCCTGACAAAATTCCTTTAAAATGAGACACAACATCATTTGCCATTGTTTCATCTCCATCATTGTAGTTTGTATACATGTGCCCCTCACACCCTCTGGCTTCTTTTCAAACCATTCCCTGGGATAGGAAATAGTGTGGCTCATATTGTGAGGCAGCAAGCTCCAAAGCCCCATGGCAGAGAGCAGGCCTTCAGCACTCAGCAAGGGCGTCCCCAACTGTCCCACCTACCACACTTACGGATCTAGAGAGAGCAGAACACTTCAGCTCTACCACACACAAATTTCAGTTCACACTTCACACTGCAAGAAACCTTCCTGCGTAAAAAATTAGCCTCATTTTTAACTGCCCCTTTACTCAATGCTATTTGCAAATTCTTGGAAAAGACTGTTTTCCATGCCTAGAAAGTTAAATTACTTCTACATTAATTTCCACATACCTAATATTAAACTGCCACTACATGCTAACACAACCATCCCTATTCTGTTCCATGTAGAGTCACAGGGATGTAATTATTGCTAGCATCCACTTTCAATGAACCCAACAGGAACCAACTGCAGGTTGGTTCACTTCGATTTCCAGGCACCTTATTGAAACACTTTTCAGGCACCTTATTTAAACACCTTTCCACACTCTCTGAGGGGTACAGAAGATTTTCTCTTATGTGTTCAAGCTCTCCTGAAAGCACCACAGCTGTTGATTGCATCCGGAAGTAAAATTTCCTCATATACTTTTGGGTCTTCAACCACCAGTCAGAGTCTTCCAACTACTCATAATTTTTCTCCCTTGGGAGCCGTGATTTTTCTTAAGCAGGCAAAAACTAAAATAAAAAATAAAATTCTTGAGTTGCACTCCCCACTCCAAAAGAGGGAGAAAATACCTGTGAGGGCAGCGTCAAAGAAACCCCTCCCGCGGATGAAGTCTGACTTGTAATTTACCATCCTCACTGAATGTGAGAAACTCACAGCGGGTGTTGAACCCTGGTAAGATCAATCCTTCTGCAGCGCCTGCGGCTTTGGTACAGAGGCGATCGCTTGTTTAGAAATAAACAAACAATCAGGACAGTAAACTTCTTCGGTTTGGCAGCACAAAACGATTCCGGCATTTAGAGAGCTGCCTCTAAACGGGGAAAATTTGCAACAGGTAGGGAGGATTTAGCCTTCATCTCTACACAGCCGATCTCGATGACTGGCCATGAGCCGCAGGAAGGCGCAGCCCGAGCGCAGTGCGCGGAGCCGCGCGTCCCGGGCGCGTCCCGGCAGCGCCCGGGCAGCTCCGGGGGCCGACACGGCGCGGCTGCCGCCCCTCCCGCCCGAGCTGCGCCCCGAGCCGCGCTCCGAGCCGCGCTGCCCCGGCTGGCCGAGCACCCTCGGCGGGCCCGCTCCCCGCCGCGCCCCGTCCCGCCCGCCCCGCCACTGACCTTGCCCGCCGTCGGGGAACGGGGAGCTGCCGGCCGGCGGGGCCCTGCCCAGGCAGGGAGCTCGGGCGTGGAGGACGAGGAGGCAGAGGGAGAGCAGGCGTGCCGCCCGGCTCCGCGGGACACATGGCATGGTGCGGGCGGGGAGCTGCGAGCGGGGCGCCTATCGGGGCCGCGGCATGGCCCGGCCGCTCCCGGCGCCGCTCCGCACAAGGGCTGCGCGGGGCCGTGCCGGTGTCTGGTTCCTGCCGGCGGAGGAAGGAGGGCTGCGGGGAGGGAGCGGCTCCCGGAGCCCCCGCCTCGGAGCGGCCGGGGTTAACGCGGCGGGACGAACCGGGCCGGGGCGGCGGGGAGGGAGGAGAGCGAGGCCGCCAACAGGGACTGCCGCCCCTCTCCGCCCTCCACCGAGGCCGAAGTGGGGCGTTCGCCCTGACAGCCCTCGGGGAGGGCCGCCCGCACAAGGCAGCATCCCCTTCCCCGGTCTCCGCCGAGGGGCCGGGGCAAGGCGCCTCGCAGCCCCCCTCACGCCCTGGCAGAGGTTCCTCAGCCGCGGGAGAAAGTGTTCGAGGCACGCGGGAGTTTGACCCGTTTCCCACCACTTTCTGATGCGGCGGGAGGGGATGCGGAGATTTCCCCTGCTGAAGCATCCCGTAGCCCATGGCCTCTCGGGGCCCAGCAGCCAGAGCCCGGTTTCCCGGCTGCCTGACAGAATCACAGAGTATGTCAGGTTGGAAAAAGCCTCTGCAATCATTGAGTCCAGCCTGTGGTCTGAATATCAAAATGTCCATTAGACCGTGGTACTAAGAGCCACATCCTTTCTTAAATACCTCCAGGGCCGCCGACTCCACCACCTCCCTGGGCAGTTCATGTCAAAGTCTAAACATCCTTCCTTGTGAAAAAAATCTTCCTAATGTCCAGCCTAAACCTCCCCTGATGCAGGTTAAGACTCCTCAGGGTGCCAAGACCATTCTGTGTTTTAGCAGTGTGCTGGTTACTTCTGGGGTTACTTCTGAATGTCCTCGCTGTGAACAGAAAGTTCCTATATCACCTTGGCATCTACATTTTTAAATGCATGCCATGTGCTCTCTGCCAAGTCTCCTCATCTAGCATCTTCTGTGGCTACTGCCGGGCCAAGGATTGTCAGGTAGGTGCACACTTCCGTGCTGTCCCATGCTTGAGACCTGGGTTGGGTTCCTCATCTGCCTTGATAGCCTCCTGCTAAAAGCTGACTCCACCATGAACTTGTATACTTTCATAGCAATCTGTGCTTAATTATGCTTGTGTCTCTGCTCAGTTTTCCCAAGGTGAATGGCTGCCACAGTTCAACTGCCTTCACTGGAAGAACTATGAACTCCAGACTCCAGAGCACAAAAATGCAAAAAAATAGTTAAAGCTCCAACGTTTTCTAAATCAGCAAAAAATGTGGCTTCCCCCAGGACTCAGGTAACTCTGGAAACAGACATATTTATAAGAGTGATAATTTATTTAGGAATCATCATGTGCTCTCTTTTAGATAGTGGAAGGACACAGACCATGCAAGAGGAATATTTGATATTCAACATGGAATATTTGATATCCAATAGTACTTGGCAAGAGAAGATTTGTTAATTGCAAAGTATTTATTTCAATATGTCTGTCCATATATTCTGCACACAAATAATATTATCTCATCTGTTAGAGTGACAAGTTTTCTAGTGTTCTTGCCATTAGGATTCTTAGTCTAGTCACAGAGTAGGCATGAGGCTATTTTGTGAGACTGGGTATTATAGCCTACTTAGCTCTTTATCTTTATCAAGTACTTCCTTGAAATTACTTTAAAGCTAAGTGTGACCTGAAATTGATATTACATATATATTATTTAACATCAAAAAAAAAAAAAAAAAAGCTTGACAATTTTTGCCTAGAAAAAGCCACACAATTTGACATTAGTATTTTAAAATAATTCAGTTGGTGAATAAGGAAGTATCTCTGCCAAATGAAATAAAAAGGAAAAATGCTGTAAAATGAGGAGAACAGGCTAGGAGTAGTGGAAAGAAGGTATGACAGTTCAAGGGATGGGTACATATTTACAAAGTACTGGTTTAACATACTTTTTTAAAGGCCATCAGAAAAATAGCCCTTCTGTGAGAGATATTTAACTCTTTGCTTCCATTTTCAGTCAACGCTTTACGTAGGTGTTCACTGATGGGAAGCAACTAGTATTTCCTGCAGGATTCCATCTTGGTTTCTTCCTCAGCAGGAAAACTTAATTCCTGTTGCCTGTAATTCTCTCCAGCCTTGAAGGTGATGGAGAGTTTGTGGGAATGAGTTTTGTTTTGATTAGATTTTTTTTTTAATACGACAAAAATTTGTAGATTGAAAAGTCATACAGAGTGGAGTAAGAGAGCTGTGGGAATCTGGTCTGAGACATCTATAACTCCCTAGGCTTTTTGCCAGCATGCACATACACAGAAAAAATTATTCACTGGGCGTGGTGTTAGAAAATACCCTGGGGGGACAATAGGGTTCTTGCTTCAGGGATTCTGTAGCTGACACAGTGTCCCTGGACCAGCTACTGTAGCAGCTATGCAGCACTGTACCAGCTACTAAGGAGAAAACTATGTCTATCCCAGCTAAAAACAGTCAAGATGTGAAGCAATGGCACAAGTAGAAATCACTCTCCTGACATGAGTACACACTAAGGCCATTTTAAGTTAACAGAATTTATGGCACTATCTTCCCAGTGGTTTCCTGTTCCAAAGAGTCATAACCTGAGGTTTTGGAGTTTTTTTTTGAAAGCAAGTGAATTGTTTTTGCTAACTTAACCTCCGTTATAAAAAGAAAAATAATACAGCACCATATAAACTGTGTTCTTGTGGCAACAAAGTTATTGCGTTTCAGTAGATGCAGCTCCACACAGAAAAGCCTGTACATTTATTGAAAGATCACAATCAAGAGATATAATCAGTCCTGGACTGACAAACCAGAAACAATACTGGACTCTTTTTAAATTTAAGTAGACTTCTAAGATAGCCATAAAAGAAATTTATGTATTGCAATTTATGTGTATATAGAAATGTTTACAGAGACATAGAAAAGCAGATGCTCTCATCAGTGAAGAACTAAAACACAAATTATATGATTTGGCATAGAAGAGTTGCTATAAAATGAAGTCCATGTGAAGACAGACATGGAAGGAAAATTTGCTTTACTGGGAATAAGAGTCTCCTGCTCAAAATTTAAAGATACAAAATTACAATATACACACTTGCTCTGCTCCTGCAATCAACAGGGAGAGGAGATACCTCTGGAGTATAAGACATCCTTGTCTGTCACATACAAGATGAAACGCTGTCCAGACCTGACTGTTAACTATCCAGGCAGCTTAACAGTTTGTTTGGACTGGAAATGGTAAGATCACACATGATGTGGTGGGCTTAGACTACTCTGTGATTCTCTGATACTGTGACTATTGGCAGGGAGATGAACTGAAATAGAGTGACTCTGAATACCAAGGGTCCTGTGGAATTTGCTGGGTAATTGCCACTGTTGATGTATTATTTCTCTGTTGGATTTATAAAGAAGTTTGTGAGTACATTTTTTTTAATCTTTAATCTTACTCCCTGTTTCTCATTAGATATGCAGCCTCTTAAAACAGCTAACTGTTGGTAATTGAACCAGAGCCACTGTTGAATCTCTCAATTTCCATTTCATAATCTTTAGAGATTTTTGGAACTTCATAAGTTACTTTTGCAAAAAAAAAAATTATTTGGTGACAATCCACTTCTGGTATGTCTGTTGGCAGATTTAAGTAAGAGAATGAAGCAAACTCTAAGTAGTCAGTGATTATTTAACATGAAATTTTTGTATGCTCACACTCAGATTTCTAGTCAGTCTTCAAACATGGATTGCTTTTTATTACTAGTGAGCTAATTCACAAAATTATAATTTCAAGATTGCACCATATGAATTTATAAGCTCATTTGTCATACTCTCCATATTAACCAAATAAAAGCATGTTTCTGGAGCAACAAGTCATTTTGAATTATCTTTTTAAGTTAGTACCCAAAAAGTATATTCTCAATAGTACACCTAGAAAGTAAATGCTGAGAAGATGATGAACATAATCAAAGTTTTTGGGAGGTTATTTGTTTGGTTTTGGGGTATTTTTAAGGGTTTGGTTTTGTTTTGTAATGCCTTTATTAAAACCTATTTCTGTGTCCAAACAGTATTTTCTGGAGGATATATCTGTGGTGTGTGAATTGTGGTATGGTCATTGTGTTAATCTGAGATTTTGTAATGAAAGCCTGTATCCATTTCCTACTACACTTTTAAGAGAAGAATTGCCATTAAATCTTCCTATGGTGGACACACATCAAGTCACAGCAAGTTCACTCTCAGGATGGAGAAGATAGAGTTGTAAAATCCAGTTGAAACTGGAAGTGAAACTTAAATCCAGTTTAAACTAGAACTGAAACTGAAAAAACAATAACAGAACTGTTACTGTCTGAATTTGGTCGGAAGGATGAGATTGCAGCCCTGAGCTCAATAAAAAACTAAGAGTTCCAGGAATTAGAACTGAAAAACTAAACAAACATGTCCCTTTCCTGTTTTCTAGTTTCCTTCTCCTGATCCAGAGTTTTGTTTGAGAGAGAATGGCATAAAAAGAATTATTCATAAAACATAATGCAATATTAACATAAAGTTAAGCCCTTTTAAGCCACACACACTAGTAAATTTTTTAATAAAATCTGTTCTAGAGTTTACTATTACTAATTTTTGCATCAGTGTGTCAAATACGAAAAAAAAATTTAAAATCTCTTACTGCTACAAAAATATCCTGAGAAATAATCCCATGTTTCTGTATTTAGTGATACATTCAATATTTTAAAAATCTGCTTTAAGCTCAAAAATGCCTTTCATATTGAAAACAGAGCACCATCTCCCTTGCCAAAATGTTTCAGAGGAACATACAGCTGGTTCCGGCACTGTTGTAATTATAATAAATCTTTTGTTTGTGTATGAAGTCTGTAAAGGGAGTGAAAAATTATAGAAATTCTTCGGGGTAAATTGTAGGGAAATTACAATTTCAGCAAATGTTTATTTGGCATTTAACTACAACATTTTTAATGCTCTTTGAGAAAAACCTGCAGGACACTGACACAATATAGTCAAAACCAATGGGCAGTTTCTGTTGGTGGTCTGAACGAGTGAAAGCCTTTTTAAATCTACTGTACTGATTGATGCTGCCT